AGATGGGACATCCGATCATGGGATGGTCGGATGCCTCCGCCCACAAGATTAGCGTGGACAGTAGCTCAAGGGTTGAATGTGGGTCGCTTTTTTAGCCGCTGAACCTCTTGAATAAGAACTCGCATGATGTTACTTGAAAATATAACTGCTGGAGAAAACCACATTTGAGCAACTCATCACAGTTCCTGGCCATAAGTTGATTCTGAGGACTGAGTTACACGCCCACTGTCAAGCTGGAGTTGTGGCCAAAGATCCCTCTTTATGAGAGCGATTGAGCCCATTTAAGTGACTCACAGAGTGTTGATTTCACTTCTATCCACCTGTCAACTCCTTTTTGCGAATGTTCGCGACGTGTGAGCGAGGACTTCGCAACTTAAGACGCATCCGAGGAATTTGGAGTGACGTGGAGATATCATTAGTCCAATGATCTGCGCGGCTACATGTGGGCGGGACTATTTTTCGGTGGGCGGGGCTGTCACATGGGCACTTCATGTGAGGTTACGGTAAGAATATTGTCACCGTGAACATCCTACGAGACTGTAATCCAACTTTCGAGTTTTCAGGCGGCGATCGACTGAATCGGCTTCGGCTTGGAGCTGATGGTGATTCCTTCTACGTGAGGATCAATGTCGATCGGAACAGTGAAAATAAGGATGAACTTGACATAAAAGCGGTAAGCTCCTGATTATTTTATTCATTACTTATTTTTGGTTCATTGTTTACTTATTTGATTACATTACTTCCGAACTTAACTAGAATGTTGTGTTGAGGGTGAAATAGTGTTTGTCGATAACACAATGTTCATGGGACAACGGGGCAAGTGGCGAGCATGGAAGGTGGACCGTGAGGGTCGACAACGTGAAAACGGAATCATTCCGTCGGCTACTCATATGGAACGCAGCGATTTGAGGGGCAAGAAAGCCAAGGTAGTGAGCATTATTCGCCCTCTTAAAGACACTGCTAGATATTTGGATGGACGAAGTGGTGGGCACCCAGTCATTCTGCCTCCTTTATTGGCGAGCAGCTGCCGTTCTGGAAGTAGTGCGCACCAGAGTAAAGGCAGAGTGAATTGGGTGTTTCGGCCCATTTCCCCACCCATCCGATCATCGTGGAATGCGCTGGAAAACGTTTTTTTTTGCAGAATCGCATGACTCTGACGCGACCAATCTACGAACGTGTCGAGCGAGTTTCATCATCAAAACGACGACCGATTGTGCTTTTTGGACCACTTCTTACTCCATTCATTCAAACGCTACTCGACGACTCGAGCAAGTAAGTTACGAATCAGCATTTCTGGTGAGACATTGGGCGCCTTGTAGACAAATTCTGCTATCGAAGTCTCGGGAGTCTCGCAAAAAGTGACCCTTTCTCATTGCTGGCCCTCTTTCTAATATAGTATACCCACCAGCAGGGCTCTAATATTGTATACTCATCAGCACTTCTGCCGCTGAGGAATATTCAAAAAATACCCCTCTTGCCTGACTTCCTCCTGGTGCGACCCCCCATCCCCCTCACTATCACTTCCACCTATCAGCTTACTGGCTTTTCCCTACCCTTTACCACTTTTTCCCCAGTTTCAAGACATTTTTCCCACTTTTTCCTAGCAAAGGGAAAAAAAAACATCGTTCGACGACCCCCCCCCCACCCGTCTCTGCGCATCGGACGTTACCCAATGGAATTATTCCAACGATGTGGACAGCGCTGTGAAACAAGAAAAATGAATTGTCTAACAATATCTCTTAGGCCAAATACGATCCCTCGTCCCTCCACCGGAAGAACACTTCCCTCCCGCTGTGGGGATTCCCTAACGTTACCCTGCCCACTAGTGAGTAGGGTACAATTGTTGTGGGTTCTTTTTCTATCCAACAGTCGCGGACTGTATCCTCAGCCCATTAACATGTTGTTTACGGCTAGTGCCAACAAAAATCTTCCAAAGCTTAACTTCGATTGATATATTAGCACCGTGGTTACCGATGCCGCGGGGGCGTGGTCAAAAATCTTTTTGATGTGGAGTATCGGAGCCGCCGGATGCTTTTGGGTAGCAATACGGTTGTACTCATTCTTCGAAGGGACATTTTTACCCTAAGACATTCAGGGGGAGGGACCGGGCGAAATCCGGCGCAGTTCTGCTTGGTGGGGCCTTTGCTGGATTCCATCGATCGCTGCCAATACCTCTTGTGGCGAGCCATAAATCCGGAAGCATAGG